ATGGCAGAAAGAACTGTCCCAAGTACTGTTCATCAAACACTACACCGCGTGAAGGTGACTATAGAAATATAAGTTGTTGTATTGACAATTTTCAATGGAATAACAAGAAATGGGCCTCATATCTAGCTACGACTTAGGTTTTATAAAGTAACCCTCACCTCCTTCAAACTCTGAAGACCTACCTTTAGTCTGTGCTTTTGGTCATCTCCTCAAGCCCTCCCAATGCAACTTCCAACTCGAGTCTAAACCCTTGACTGTCCAATGGCTTGGGACATCCTCCCTATGAAGAAAAGGTGCTGTATGAATGCAATTTGTTGTTGTTTAATTTTCCACTTACATTTTGACTCTAAAGTGGACAAAGAAAGGCATTCACATATCTTAATTTGAGGGAAAATTTATAAAATTTTCAGCAAGTAAAATAAACTAATTAAATGGGTTGCATGCAAGATGCTCATTGATCAACTTAAGATGTAAATTCTGTTATAAAATGTGTTCATGATGTTAGGCTTCTGTTTGTGCAGCTAAAGGCATCTTGCAGTGGCAAGATGGACCTTGTGCTTTTTGCTGGAGTTGCGTGTTCTCTCCAAATCTTTTTTGTATGACTTCATAGGATTGGCCGTCAGCCAGACTTCCAGTTCACTGTAACATGTGAGGGTCTTTGTTCGAACTTATTACAAAAACCTGGCATCTCCTGACACCTTGTATTATTGTACTCGAATGACTGATAGAATGATTCGTTCCCACAATTTCCCAGACAAAGAGCAAAAATCTATAGCTGAAATCAGGATGGGGCATATTTGAATCAAAAAATGTTAGTAGCAAACACTTTATACAACAACAAGATTACATTTGGATAGCGCCTTTCATGTTGGGAGGACGTCCCAAGGTGCTGGACAGTGTACAGCATTTCAGACCCGAGCTGGGGTCAGGGAGGGAGAAGGGAGGGAAAAGGTGGTGGACGATGGCATGGTCGAAGAGGAGGGACTTGAGGCGGGACTTGAAGGAGGCTGAGGAGGGGGTGAGGCAGAGTGATTGGGGGATGGAGTTCCAGAGGTTGGGGGCAGAGTGGCTTGAAGGCTCTCCCGCCAATGGTGGGGCGGGTGGGTCGGGGGACATGGAGCAGGCCAGAGCCGGCTGAGTGGAGGGAGCGGGCGGATAGGTAGGGGGTTAGGAGGTCACAGAGATAGGGTGGGGCGAGGCCATTGAGGGCTTTGTAGGTGAGGACCAGGATTTTGAACTGGATCCTCTCAAGGATAGGGAGACAATGGAGTCATACAACATGATGGTATGAAACTGAGGTCGCAGAGGAAGGATGAGGCCATGGAATATTTAAAATTAAGGATGAGGATCTTGAATTTAATGCACTGGGGGATGGAGAGCCAGGGGAGCTGAGCGATGATGGGGCTGTGGGCCCGTGGAGCCGGTATGGAGAGGATAATGGGCTGCAGAATTGTGGAATTCTGGAAAGCAGTGTGTGCAGGAGGAATGGAGCCTGGACGGTGGCTCGAGAAAGGAGGGAGGGGTAGAGAGGTGGTGCCAGAAGTGGGTGATTTTGTTTAGGTGAGGGAAAGGTGAATGAGTGAAAGCCATATAGGGCTGAAAAGCAGTTGGAGGTTGAATAGGACACCAATCTTTCGCTTCAGCTGTGTGAGGTGGAGTGATCATCGTGCAGGTTGATGCAGTCAGCACCTCAGGTATTGAGGCGTTAATGGAAGTAAAGCAAGAGAGCCTCGGTCTTGATGACATTTAATTGAAGATAGTTAGACCTCACCCAGGAATACAAATCATAAGGACCCTTCTAACCTGTATGCCATATTATTAGATTGTGGTAGAATTTTTAACCCCACTTTCCCTACCTTTTTACATAACCCTTAATATTTGCTAAGAACAGTATCTAAATTCCTTTTAAACATTCCAACTGCATCTTTGGCCCTCTGAGCCAGTGAACATTGTATATTTTCCTGTTTATTTCAAACTGCGCATTTTTCTTCCTTTAAATGTTATCTCACTTCCTCTGCATTGTTTAGCAGTTTATAAGGCAGCCGACATTCCATTGCAAGTGTCTACTTGTAGCTCTCTGTAACCAGCTGCTGGGAGGTGCGGAGAGGTAGATTTGCTTGCTTCACTACTTTCTGATTTATTTTCCCTTCTGTTCTTTGGGGAAGTGCCTTATTTATGGCTAGTTTCTCTGATGGCCTTGCTGAGATGTCAAAACTGCAGGCGAAGAATAGATATTCTACTTGTGCTTTAGGGCACCACTGAGCTATGGTTCGCACTGTGCCCTATTGGAGAATTAATTTCTCAGAATAGCCTTGGTTTTAAGGTATCTATCAAAATAATAATAATCCTTGAATTTGACATTGCGCCTCATCGCGTCTTCGGGCTATCTCAAAGCGCTGCACGGGATATACTGTAAAATTAATTGGCTATGGTAAAATAATGTAAACTGCCCATTCGATAGATGTGATTGACGCATTATGTCTGAAGTATTTGTAAAACATTTTGTTTTGGGGGAGGGAATGCTGATGACTCATTTTCACATTTTTCAGATAGCAAGACTTTGTTTGGATCTCTGAGCTACACTGAGCTACAGGACTCTTTGTGTGGAGTCCTGTAGCTCAGTGGTTAGAGCACTCGCCTCGCAAGCAAGAGACTTGGGTTCGTTCAATTCTCGGCCGGGCAAAACCTTGGGCAAGTTTCCTTACTCCACACGCCTGATAATAATCCCTCAAAAAAAAAAAAATTGATCCTTTCAATCCACGACTGCTGTGGTACACTGCTCTGCGCAATTGGCTGCCATGTTTCGCCTACAAATATACAATCAATTCACTTTACAGTATATTCTATGAAGCATTTTGAGACGTCTAGAAGACGTGAAAAGCGCTATATTAACTGCAAGCATTATTGTATATTTATTATATATCTCTTCAAAGCTGTGTGGTACTCCGTTGATCTGCTTTGGTATCAAAAACATTGCCTTTTTGAACTTGCAAGCTGCTGGTGATAAATACAATGGGTTAAGATACTTTTCTAAGATTTGGCCAATCTCATAAAAGTATCTTAGTCCACTGAATTTGTCACCAGAGTTGCTGAAATATTTTGCTTGACATCTTGACTAGTTAGATAAAGACTGAAATTGTGGAAATTGCTACTGCACTAAAACACTAAACTTTAATAAGACTGATGTCAGTCAAACTTAGCATTGGAACCATACCATTTCCATTGCATAATTAAATTTAGATAAAATATCACCATTTTAGTGATCTGCTGCTGTAGAAACAAATATTGTTGACACAGTGTTTCAACTTAAATTTCTATATTTCTTTTTAAACTCTGCGATTTTTAAGTTCCTCCAGTTGATAACACTAAGTTGAGATATCCTTGCTTTCCCAATGGCTGAGTGGGTAACCTGAGTGGTTCTAAGCAATACAGATCAAGAATCCCATGTTTGATCAGTAATGTGCTGTGTTAAAGTAATCTTTCAGCCTTGACAGTGGAGAGTGCAGCACTTGAGACCAATGCCAGCGAGCTAAGGAGGGGAGAGAATATCAGTCAGAGTAGATTCCTGCTAACTGTTGAATACCCACTGGTTAGCATGTGAGGATGCCAGTTGATTACTGGATCATTTCTGGCTGTGATGCCCTCTGGTTACCTTTCCCCCTCATAAACCTATCAAAACTTTTGGCTCATAAGCGACGAGTGATAACTTGGTTGAGGTACGAGAGGGAAGCTCGTACCCGTGGAACTAATATCAGTAAAACAATGCGAGGGAAGTGAAGTAGTACACAATAAACTATTAAAAAGTTCTGCTATGAAATTAATGTAATGGTTGCTGAGAGTTCAGTGGGAGGAAGGGGTTAGCTGAGTCAAATGGAATTGTCTGGCACCTCCTGTGGGTGTGAGAATCTGCTAATCTACTGTGGCATCGAAAGCCTTGCCTTTTGAACCCATGAATTGCTGATGAGCCAATTATGTTGTTTTACCATTCCCTTAATTTGCCAAAACACTTTACGCTGCCCCTAGCAACAATATAATCACTGGACAGACATTTCCTGCTCCACCAAGTGTTATGATTGAAATTTGTTGCAGAATTGATGAGAACGACTTGTGAGCACACTGTACAGTATTATAAAAACCCCAAATGACAGATAGCCTTAAACTTTGAAGATGACAACTTACTCAACAAATTGTGAGATGCATCAAGCGCTTCAATTTTTTTCAGAAAGCTTTTTAATCATATTACTGGAATTGTAACAATTTTCCTGAATTCCCAGGTCAGTTTTTAAAATATCCACAGCCTATATCAACTTTGCATTTTGACTTTTTTAATACAATAATGGAAAGACCCGTAAACCATTCCTTAACTGAAAACGTGATCTTCGAACAAAAAAGTTAAAATTGTAAAGCTATGTTCATTATTCACTACATGTACTACGTGTTATCCAGACTTAGTATTCACAAATTTTTAATATATGGTAAACTTGGCTTCCCAGAGCAATACCCAAAGTCTAGTTCTATTTTGGAACGTGAGACGGTCTGTCATTTCCAATATAGATTCCCACATTTTTAAAGCAAGATGTGAATCCAACTGAAATTAAGTAGGAAATTACTGCTTCTAAGCTGAGCGCTACAGCTCGCTCCTGCAAACCTTTCATTCCCACATAGTAAGCATTTCAAAATTGTTAGTATTATGAGCTAATTTGACTTGGCTGAACAATAAGTAATGCTTTATTAGCATTCAGTATTGTATTAATTTTATTTGGTCAGTCGGGTGTCTGAACATTTCAGCTTATTTTGTACGTGAATAAGAGTGATTAAGTCATGATGCTAGGATATATATTATGGCTTTTAATGAAAAGTACATCTACCTTGTCAAACGGATTCACCTGGCTAATGATTGTGACTGCCATTCCTGCTTTTAAGACAAACTCACCGAATTGTGTTGCTCATTTTCTGTTGATCAGTCATAAGGAATCACTTTTCTTTCTCTTCCCTTGTAGCGTCGGCACCAGTCAGCAGTGTGAGTAGGCGCCGTATTTCTACAGGCACTCATCCCATCTGGGAGAAGAAAAGTGTCATCATGTCAAACGTTACCATTGACCCAGACATCAAACCTGGGGAGTATGTCATCAAGAGTCTCTTGGCTGAATTCACAGTCCAGGCGGAGAAGAAGATTGAAGTTGTGATGGCTGAACCACTGGTGAGTAAACTTATACTGTTACTTTCCTAAAAGAAGATAAAGAAAAGTAATCTTGACCAGGATCTGAATGCAAGGGAGGAAATAGAGCTGAAGATCAAAGCAAACACCAAGGTTGTGCACTGGTTCACTGAGTTTAGAGGGAGAGGTCAGGGATATTGAAGTCAGAGCTGGAAAAGAGGATACATTGGTAGGAGCCGGGGAGGGTGGTCTTGGTCTTGACCATGTTGAGCTGCAAGAAAATGAGGCTTATCCAGTTCCTTGATGTCTGATAGGAAGGTGAACAGAACCAGGTGGACCAGAAATCAAAGGGAGACGGGGAATAATAGATTTGTGTGTCACTGCATACATGTGAAAGTTAACATTCTCTTTGTGGATGATATCACCAAGAGGGTGCATATAGACAAGAAAAAGGAGGGGTCAAAATCCATCAATGATAGAGTAACCAGCAAATAAACTGAACAGATGGGGAAAAATGAAAACAAATAAAAGAACCTGATTCCACAGAGTTATCTTTTAATTGGGATCTTTAAATAATAAGCCTTATGTGGGTGGGTGAAATGGACTTGGAAAGGAGAGTGGTAGCAGTTGTCATGGAATCCGTGGTGCCCCAAATGATACAGGCAAAATTAGTGAAGGAAATAGGAGTGGCCCTATGAAGGACAATTTCTGACTGCGTAGAAGGATGTGTAGGTGGTATATCTTTGAAAGCTGGTGTATGGCGGATGTGATTGACACTTTGAGGACAGCATCAAAAGTCACCAAAGCCTGATTCGTGTTCTCTTACATCTACAGAATTAACCTTGTAGAGTTGCTGGTTGAATTACCAGTTGTTCTTTTTATTGTTTTTATTTTCTGCTGAGCTCTCAATCCAGTTTTTTATAAAAGAGGTCACCTGTCCATGCTATACTCTCTCTGTCAGCACCCAGATATGGTGCCAAAATATAATATGGAACATAGGAGATACCTGTATCCTTCCCATTGTTTCTTACCCTTTGTAACCATAATTTGCAATTAAAGTACTATAATTAACTAGTTTATGAACATCAATCTGCATTCTTGATTAATGAAATGAAACTTCATAAGCATTTTATAGCACTGTTATATGTCATACTGTATTGATGGTAGTGCATCAAAGGGGTATTTTGACGAGTCTTAAAACCCACGGGTATGAGTAGCTTGTGTCACGGGATCCTAGATATTTCTACAGGGGTGGCATAAATAATTTATCATGGCTGGTGAGAATGTCCTGAGGCTTTGACTTTGCATTACCGTCAGTAATTTCTTATTGGTAGAGTTATTAGCTTCCAGAAGCTGGAATATAACATGGGTTGTTTACTGTAACTCTTGGCATTCTGTTGCGTCTGCACTTTTCTAATGAATGTCTGCACTGCCAAACATTCCACTGAAGGGACACTCCATCTGAGAGCGTATTGTACGTTATTTGAATAAATTGTAAGAGTAAACAGCTCACTGCTTGCAAGATTGCTGTGCTGTTTGAGTGCCATGACACATTACACAAATCAATGCTTTAACATTTTTTGAACTGTTGATGGTGTCTTAAGTGAATGTTCAGAGAGCTGGGATATGAAAGCTGAAAGAAATAATTTGGTGGTAGACATCTGTTTTCCTTAATTCTTGAACTATTCTTCCTGTAAGGCGATGTGCTTGGCAACACAATGTCAGAACTGAGTTGACATGTGCTGGTTGTGGTATTCAGGATCCCAATTCAGATGGATCCCCAGTACTCCCAAGGCATTGATGATGATGATAAACCAGCTAGCCTGGCTCATCAGTAGGTCTAGGATGGACAGACTGGTGCCCCGGGGCAAGGATTCTCCCCACTCAGCTCTTGTAAACTACACAAGCCAAGCCCTAATGGGTAAGGTGGTCTTGCCAGACAGAGCTTTCAGAGGCACGCTATGTGCTTTTAGTTGGTTCAACTCCAGCAGACTCCATTGCACAATTTGGCGTCCCCAAGCCTTGGATCATGCCAACCTGCACCTAATATTCTCTGGAATTCAGTAAGCAGGATTCGTTGCTCCAGGAAGAGACTCAGGAATTTCCATGTTTATGTGGCATACTTGGAATTATTGGTTTCGTTTGGATACTATTAAGCTTGACAATGATTTTCTACTTGTGTCAGACACCAATTTATTCTTTATTTGATTTGACAAAGTATATTTCAGTTGACAAAGCATAATCATAAGGAGCAGCATATATTTGAGATGTTTGATGTCTGTGACATTTTGCTTGTTTACTACTTTCAGAATTGCAGCTGCTGTTATGTTGCAGTGTTACCATTACCAGAACTCCCTTTCCTGGCACATACCTTATCTATGTATTGTCTGGCTTTATCTTCAGTTTGGTTGAGCTTGACTCAAAGGACTTCCCTCCTAAATCAGGATTAGTTCAGGTGTACATGCATGAAAATGTATCCCTTTGGCTGTGGCTTTTGTCAACATCCTTAAATCTCCTACTCAGGGTTCACCATTGTGTTTGCCAAGCATGTCAAGACATTCATTCTCAGTGAAGGCAGTTTGCAAGTGCAATTTATTGTTGAGAAGTGTAGGACACTGTAAATCCTGGAACAAAGACGCTGTGATCTAGATAATTCTGGCCAGGAATAATGCAATTTATTACAGATAGAATAATTCTCAGTTGTTTGGGATATCAGTTTTACATAACTAAATCAAAACCTGCAGAAAATTGACAGGCTGCTTCTATGCCTTTTGCAAATAAATGTTCCTATTTATTTGGTATTATTATGATAAATTGGTTCCACAATGCAATAGAAGCAGTGAAGAAGTGGCTGCTGATGTAGTAATGATGTGTTGTTGAATCACAGAGTGCACAACGCCTGTGCCCTTTTCAAATAAATGTTCCTATTTACTTGATATTATTATGATAAATTGGTCTCACAACAGACTGATTTGGAATTTTTTTCTATGCTAAAGCATAGTAAAATAAGGACAGATAAATCAGAAGTAGTTTCTCTCCCACTCAGAGGCAGCCTCCTGAATCTTCACTACATCATTTGACATGTTATCCTATATATGTATTTTGTAAGAACTGATTTAATAAAATGCAATGTAGAAATATAGCTTACGATACAATACAAATTTATATTTATATAAATGTTTCACCTACAAAATACAGTCAATCCACTTTATAATATATTTTAAGTCCTAAGTTGAAGCTACTTCTTGGCAATTGAGATAAACAGCAAACTGCTGCCAGGAGTACTGAAGCTGGGAATGGGCTGAGCTCAGACTGCGTCAAAAATAGCTATTTACACTAATTGTTTGCACAAACCTTCTCTGGAGAATCCAGAGAAGAAAAGTGAGACAGGGAAATTATATATTTGCATATGTGGTTATTGTTTCCATATTGGAACAATACCTGCAATATACAATAATAATTATGCATTTGGCATAGCTCTTTCATGTCAGGAGGACATCTCAAAGTGCTTCACAGAATTTAATGTAAAGCAGAGGGACTGTATACTTTTTCGACAGGGAATTGAACGTATAGCAGTGTCCCACAAACAGCCATGAAGTGAATGGCCAATTATGTTTGGGGGATTATTGTCTAGGACTGGGAGAAACTCCCTCCTCTTTTCGAATAGTGCCATGGGATTTTTAACGTCCACTTGAACAGGCAGGAGCTCAGTTTAATGTTATCTGATGGGCAGCACCTCCAGTAATGCAGCATACTCCCAACCCTGCACTGGAGTGTCAGCTTACACTATTGAGTTCCGTCCCAAACTGGGGTTTGAACACACAACCTTCTGACTCAGAGGTGAGAGTGCTAACAACAGAGCCAGGCTGACACACAGAAGAATATGAGGTGGGGTATATTGAGTGCCAGTACCAGCATTGTCAGGCTGTTTAAGAACTAGTTCTCTTTGTACTGCTTCTGCAGTATCATGCAGAATAATTCAGGCATTTAAATGGTCATTATACAGCCCCCAAAGTCAGGAAAAGTATTGAAGAGATTAACTGAACTACGGAAAAGAATATCACATGGTATTTGTATCGGCTTCTTCAATGAGAGTTCAGATGTTTGAACTGCCAAGAGCACATCCAATGTGGATTTCTTCATGCACTGTTACCTTTGCAGAACAGTCCACCCCACAGTTACACATAATGATTCCATGTGCAAAGGAATGCCCAGAAAAGTTGTCAATAACCTATACGATTGGCTAAAGGAAATCTACAGTAAACTCCCGATAACTCAACACTCCCAAGGGCAATCAGTTCAGTGGCAAGTTATCCAGAGTGATGAGTTAGGCATATGTATAAATACATAAAAGCAGCTAGGATATTGACAGCATGATGAGAAGTGATGGTGGCAAGTTAAACCATGGTCGAGTTATCAGGAATTTAATGTAGTTACAATACAATCAAATCTAACCCATCATCAATCGATATATAGTGGGTTTGGTTTATTCAACCCACTTTCGGTTGTAAATTTCCTCTTTTCTGGGTCTACTTTATCTGTAAAGAATTTGAAACCCAATTTTCTATAATTAATGTCCTTATTCTGCTCCAGTGGATAAGTTAGCTTTGGCTTATTTTCTTTACATAATATATTCTACTTGTAGTGGGTGTTATGTTCTCAACAAACATGTGTAGAACACTCTATTTTAGCTCACCAGTTACAAAAATCAGTCACCAAAAACCCTCTACTGAGTTCTTCCTGCTTCCTACTTTCTCTACCTCCTGATCCCCTTTCATTGATCCTTATTTATTAATTAGTATCCAACAGTGGGGAATCTATGTATCAATTACTATATAGTGTGAATGCTTTCTAACATGGGCTCCTTTTTTAAAAAAACAAGAGTTTTAATGTGGCTTTATTCACAAAAATTAAATTTGTTCTCCTAATGTTCACAAGTCTCTCCCTCAACAGTGTCTTTCTCCAGAATCGCTCAAACCCCTCCACATCTTTTTCTGCTTACACTGTGCATGCATGAGCAGCCTTGTGTTTAAACCTTGTCG